GTGCACTGCTCTTTAGTCATATCCATGTTAAAGAGACTTTAATGAGCCTGCATTCTTATGCATGTTTTTGTGCTAAGTGCCCTTTTCCATGAATCTGCTAGCGTCACAGAGTGTAACCCCCCCCCCATATGAATGAGCTGGTTTTATCCCTGCTGAATGACAATCTTGCTATAGCACATTCCAGTGAGCAAGTGGACCGAATGACAGGCTTTGTCCTCCCCTCCTCTCTTCCCAGGCAAGATGATCAACCCCATAGTGGTGTCCTGTCTGGACAGGACCGAGTTCTGCGACTGGATCCAGCAGTTCAAAGCTGCTGACGTGCCTGTTCTCAGCCCCCCGCCTCCCGTCTATGACATCATCTACACCCCGACGAAGACAGAGGTGAGGCCTGCTTTCCTTGCTTTCAGGGGACAAACATAATTAAACTGACCACAGCTGCTATTAAGAGAGCTATCTCTTGTGAAAATATGGGTGGAGTGAATTAAAGTATGAGTCTGGCCTTGCCTCTTTTGTAAACTAACACTCAGCATGATTATATACTTGACTTCCTCTATTTTTGCTACTGTGTTACCAATTTAACAATTTACTGTAGGTCTAGACATGACCAAAGTCTGAAAGATTTATTCACAGTCGCTTGCTTTACATATTTAATGCGTGCTTTGTGCCCTTTAATCTCCAGGCCCCTCAGTTTGACAGGTGGAGTGGACACAGCCAAGGAAGAATGGAGTCTGTTAAGTCTAGCCAGCCCCCAAGTGGACGAGGATCCCGAAACCTTCAGTTCCCAATTCTTGACGAGAACCCTCTCACCCCTGGGTACTCCGAGCCTCGTTGTGTAAGTCGGCTGTGTGCTACTTCTCAATCATGAGTGTTCAAGTGATCTAATAAACTTAATCGCACGCACCAATATTTGCACAGATATAAATATGGTCAGAGTTGTGAAAAAAAAAAAAGCCTGTGTTTGTTTTGTTGGAGCTGAGCAACCAGATGCTTTCTTTCACAAAGTTAATTATTAAGCAAGGTGTAGAGACCAAAGTGCTCCTGTTACAAAGGCTCCGGTGCTGATCCTCAGGCCTTCAGCAAAGAAAAGGAAAAACAGAACAAAGTCATTTTCACTCAAATGATGCCTATCTGCGAAAACTCTAGATTTGGAGTCATAAGAGACCTTTAGCTTCTGCTTCAGCAGTTTCCTAATCATTCTGCATTATCAGGACATTTGACCAAACTCCTCCAGGAAAGGGGGGGCGGGTCCTGTAAGCTGCCTGCCTATCCAATTAGCTAAAGCAGAGCGTGCTGCACGCCCAGATGCTAGTGTTCAGCTTCAGATCTAAGGCACAAATTAAACAGAGACATTTTTCTCTCACACTTACATGACACTGTTTGCTAAAAACACGAGCAAACAGAAGCTAAAGAGACAGTCTGTGCTGGCACATGTGATCTAAAGCTCCAGTTCTTGGCTGACTTTTGTCCTTTGGGTGTGTTGTCCTTACAGTACAGTTCCAGCCGTCCTTCTTCGACTGAGACTGCCCAGCTAGGCAGCAGAAGCAATAGCATATCTTCCCACACGAGGCCCGAGCGTGACCTACGACCTTTGTCGGTGCGCTACTCATCCCCTCAGCACAGCTCCTACCTCCAGCCTGCAGAGAGCTCCAAGCTGTCTCAGCTCTACAGCATACCCTACTCTGCCCAGCACCGGGCCAGCCCGCAGCGGTTGGAGAAAGCTCCACTTGTCAAGGTAATTCAGTCTGGCGTCTAACTCGATAACCGAATATTCCCTTTGAGACCGCTGACGTATTTTACGTGTCATGTGTGCAGTAACCTAAATAGACACCAGGCAATAGACTGAGACATGCATATGGTGTTAACAAATGGAGTAACACTGCCACTTAGGCTGGTTGAAAGATCAATTTAATCAAAGATGCAAGGAATGAAATCTCTCTTAGAGTTTATAAACAGAGCTTAAGCCAGTCTGGTGCACTCTACTGCTCCACTGGTGCAGATCTGGAATAACTCACAAAGACACAATCACACTGTAACACTTACAACTAATTGTGGATTAGTTGATTTTTCTACTTCCTGTGTCTATTGTTACAAATGCAAGGAAATTTCTCCTTAATGTAAAGCTAACTCCTGCCTCTGTTTGAATCCTCTCCAGTCTAACAGCTGGAGCACTCCTCAGACATCCCTGAAGTACTCCCTTGACATCTCCCAGCGCCACTCGGATATGTGTGCCCCACGACAACCCTTATCGCCTCTCTACGATGAGCCCTGCACCCCCGAAATCTACTCCTTGGAAGAGGCCAGGCCAGTGGTAAGTGGGCCAATGATACTGGATCCACAGGTTCAATTTACACCTGCACAGCCTGTCTGATATCAAGCAGTGCAAACACCCATAAACACATGAGTATTTGGTCATATGATAACTCTTTTTTTAGAGCATGTCAAATCTTCTATAGAAGTTTAAACGTTTTAAATTGTGATTTAGCCAACCAGTCATTTAATAATTTTAGTTTGGCCTAATTTACTAGTGCAGTAAAATATTCAGTTTTACTGCACTATTCCTCTTTATGAAGTCATCATTTATTTTATTGGATACATTTACTGTCCACTGTAACTGAGGAATGTTGCAACTTTTGTGCTAAAAATGCACATCTTATTTCTTTGTTTCTTAGCCGCGGCTCTGGCAACAGCTGAATCAACAGCAGTACCACCACCAGGAACCCCAGATGCTGCCCTCCTCCTTCCAGCTCCACGACCCTCCTATGGGTGGACGCGGCAGGAGAAGCCTGGTCCTGACCAACTCCCAGGGCCACGCTCTGGACCTGGAGATGGACACACCTGAGAACCAAGCGCAACAGAGAGCAGAGGCTGTGTCGAGGCTAAAGCTGCTGCCTGTGCCAGGTCAAATGCAAGAGCAGGTGAGAGGCACAGAGATACTCATCTCCCAGGACACTCCGGTTTCTGGAATGCAGTAGTGCAGAGTGAAATGATAAACTGTATGGTAGCACAGCAAGTGTGCTGCAGGTGATATTTAAACAGGTTCAGAAGAAACACACATTTTTAAGAAATCATGAGGATGTTTGTTGTAACTGATCACAGGAAGTAACTGTCTCTGTTTTCACATCTGCTGACAGATACTTCACCCGTCGAGCTCTGCCAGAAAGCCTGCTCAGATGCATTATGGTTACTCACCAGGTAAGAATTAAAGGCATGCAATCAATAGCCAAATAAAACATTCCTTTTATGTTTAGAACGCCTGCGTGTCATTTTTGTGCTCCTAGCCCAGATAGGAAATGTTTTCATTTCATCCTGTGAATAAAGATACAGAGCCCTTTTTTTTCTTCGTGGAGAAACAATGGAGACTCTTTGAAATCTCCAATCTCAAAGTTTGAGCTATAAAAGTCAGCACTGTGAGCCTGTGTGCCTAAAAGAACACACAACATTGGCCACGCTCCAACCACACTGTAAATTCAACACTGTGCGCACTTTGGTGTGATTAAACTCCCGGGTCTGTCAGCAGGTAGACGGAAGGTTAAAGGTTGCAGATTTGAAGGTGTAGGAAATGTGCAAATGTGCCAGTGAATTAGAGCTTAGTGTCGCTCTAAATATGCTGGTGCAGTTGTCCCAACAGGGCGAAGCTCAGTGTAAGAGAACACTGCTCAACAGATTGGATTTATAACCCCACTGTGACTGACAGCACACAACTGCTCACACAGGCTCTGCTATCATTGATGAAACAAGACTAGGATTTCTCTGATCAGTCCAGATTATCTGATTATCCAGATAAACTAGTAAACATGATTTTACCAGGTGATTTTATTTGACGGGCTGCACGTTTTTTACTATTGACCATAAATAACAAGTGAAGGTGGTGCAGCAGGGATTATGCAGCTCTACTGGTTTTTACAGTAAGACCATATTTTGGGACAATAACACCATAATTACTTTGGGACTGTTTCCAAGTTTACTTAAACAGGGTGAGGTTTGCTTTTTGCTGTGTGAAACTACAAGTATGTTAATCGTCTTCAATTCTTATAGGTCGCAATTCATACCTCGAACCCGCAGAACCAGATGACCAGGAAGTAGACTATGACAACATTTGGGAGTTCGACTGTGATACAGGAATGATCCAGCCAACGGCTGGAATTTCAACAGACTGGACAGGATTAGACTTCGGGGCCAGAGGGCTTGGTGCCATGGCAACACCACAGAGATGGTCATAAAACAAAAAGGATGGCCCGGCGCTCGTCTGGACGTGTGCAAACAACAGATCTCTATCAGGGGGATAATAAAAGCCGGCAAGCACAGCAAGCATCGTGCTGGTCCCACTGTGTACAGTAGGAACCAACAAATCCCAGGAACTGCTTTGTTAGACGTCGGGCAGTTGAGCAGAGGAATGACGGGATGAAGCAAAACGTTATGGAGGTGGCAAACAAAGGCTTCAGTTGTCTGTTTAATATGTAGCATTTGTGGAAGGAGACAGTAGAGGATGCTGTATATATATACTGTGTAGCTTGAATAATATTTTCTAAATCTGCTATATGCTGTAAGTGCACTGTCATTGGTTTTATCTGTAGCAAACCCAGTTTCTTTTTAAAAAAAATATTTATAGGTTTTTCAAACAGGCTGTTCATTTCATATTATACTGTAATGTGTAATGTTATTAAAGCATTCCATCAGGGCTTGTTATAGTAAAGAATATATGTATATTTTTGTAAATCTTGTACACTTTTTATTTTATTGTGCTATACTGTCAAGGCAAATAGATGTGGCTGTAACTGACTAATATTGACTTAATAATAATAATAATAATATCAGAGGTGCACAGTACTGATACCTCTGTGGCTTTTTTTCATTTTTGTTTGAGGTGCTTATTTATATTTGGAAATAAAAGTGTTAAAAGTTTCAGTATATTGTGTCTGTTTTGTCCTCTTCTGCATATAGTAATAGGAACACTTTAAAGGTAATAATTTGTCAAAGTGTCTTGGCTTTAACTAAAATTAATAGTGAGTGGTGAAGGATTGGTTTATATTAGAACGTGAGAAAAATAACAGTGTAAGAATAAAACAAGTCTTTTTATGCAAACCTTATATTTTCTGCAGTCTGCACACACTAGCTCACCAGGTGCCTCTTTCAAAGTCTAGTAAGACACCATTTAGTTTCCATGTAGGCAAATAATAAACAACAGTTTACCTGTGATTAATAGATTGTACAGTGCTTTGGAAAAATCATGTGACCTCTCTAATTTCTTTACATCTTGTAGCAAAATGTGGTGCAATTGACTGAAACATGCAGGCATATGGAAATACAGTAAATGATTTAAAAACAAGAGTTTCAGGGTTAGAGTTGTACAATTATAACCAGTTTTAAAAGTCAGTATTTTGTATGAAAATCCACCTTAGTTGGTGCAAAAATACTATTTTATATCTGTCTTTTCTTTAGTATTTTTCCTGGATTGAATTAATAAAATGATTGTAAGCTATGAGAAACTAGATTTCTGCTAGTAACAAAGTGCCTGAAGATACAATTTAAAGCTATTTGCTAAGTTGTCTGTCACGCGCAGACACAACAGTGATTCATTACTGTTAGGCAGCTTTTTCATTCTCAAATGATTCATAAGTCAGTGTTAACTGGCTCAACAAACAACAACAACAAAAAGATTCCTTTGAAAAATCAAGAGAACTTTGAAACACTTGGAGTTTATGGTCCAGTGTTGCCCCCTGCTGAACAAAACGTCTTGACAGAGTGCTCTTTGAATACCAACAATATTGACCAAACTTTTAAACTCTTTAAATTTAAACAGTATATTAAAATATATTGTGATATAAGCTTAGTCTTATATTTCTGTACTGATTTATCGGCAGTATTTTGTTTATTCTAGGGAAGAAAGACATTGTAAATCACACAGCTGCGTCCAGTTACATGAGTTTATGTCGCCATCTAGTGTTTAGAAAGGTTTGCGTGCACGTCTGCTTTTTCAATAACACACACAGCACACAACCTACACTGTTTACTTTAGTTCAACTGAAAGGCATCACTGCCATTATCATCAACATCCACAGCTCAGTGCAACATATGACAACAGTATACAGATCTCTGTCATTAACATAAAATACCATACACATAATATACATATAACTGATACTGGCACAGAATGCTGTCCCCCTTAAATAAATTATGCTTCTGAATGGGAGCGGTTACAGTGGCAAATCTGTAAAATACAATAACTGTGAGTAAGAATATTTTAAAAGTTTGGTTGATTTAAATAGAAGCATCTGCTACCAAAAGTCATGTAATGGAAACAGGTTTGTGTAAATTTCTCCTGAATCTCTACAGTCTCTCACACTAATCCACGTATCACTCATCACCTCCAAGCTTGCTTCACACATACTTATGCATCTGATTTTTCTAAAGCCTTCTTTCAGTCAGATGAGCTTGCCTCATCTTGCCTTTGGTCGTTTCATTTTTTTTTTCTGAACACTTTCGGATGTTAAAGTTTCACTCAAGTTAAATAACTGCTCTTAAAATAAACACTTTCTCTGGAAAGCTCAGTGAGACGTAAGATCAGTAATCACAGTGCAAACGTGTTTCAACAATCCGCCGCGGACTTTCTGGAAAAGATGGATCACTTCAGCCTCGACATATTTAGAGGCCGAGAGGTGAAGGAGCAGGCAGCGCCCTGCGGTGCAGTTTCGTTTCACAGCCGGCCGCCTCCGCTTTGACGTACTTACGCAGGTATCGAATGGCTGACAGGGCACTTACATTGGCCAGCAGAACTGTGTGGAAAATGCAAGTGAAAAAGTGAGTAATCCTGTTGCTAAAATCCAAGTTTCAGTGTGTCAGGACTTGAAGCGCAGTCACTTAATAAGAACCATTTTGTAATTTCAGTCTTTAAAAAGGAAATTTTCTGTGGTATTAAACACCCTGATGCTGCACACGTACCAGCCTTCCAAGCATCTCCGACTTGTGGATTTGCAGTCTTCAGCACCCACGAGGCAAACGCAATGCAAACCAGACACATGTCTGACTGTTTGAGCGGCAGGAACGGGGCATCCAACCCTTCAAAGACAGAAATGTTTTGAGTGGGTAAGCTGTTCGTGCAAATGCAACACACAAGAAGGGAACAACCATGTACAGAGAAATCCATTTGTGTTTGGCAGCTGTAAATAAAATCCCACTAAGTTTGGCCTTCCTCTGCTCTCACACAGTGCCCCAGTAAACCTCGAAACACCTGCAGACAGTATCATTTCTAGGAGTATATAAGTATATATATATCTAGTGAGTATTTATGACCTTAAAGATAACCCTCATGGGTAAGCAAAAGAGCTCAGATATCATATAGCATATTAATTAAATGCATTGGAGGAGGAGAGGGATTTACACATAAAGACTCATGAATAAATATGAGGTAATTTCATTTCCTTCACAGCCAAACACAATTACAGCCGGCTTAGAGCTCAGATATGACGCTCATTGAGTGAAGTCAACTTATCACGTACTACCATTCCCCTTAGCTTCACTCCTGCGTGCCTGCAGTCCAGTACGGATCGTGTGACAGCTGAGGAAAGAGAATCTGTCCCAGTCAGGACTGTAACAGCTGACTGAGCAGTGGACATGTCCAACGTTACAGTCGTCCACATGTGAGGAAAACAAAAAAGAGCTTAACTAAACCTGATTTAATCAAAAATAGTCTATTAGTTTTGGTTTTTTGTCTGGAGGCCTCACAGAGATGCAATCTGTTGGACAGGTTCATACAGTTAGAGCAGTCTTCATCTTGCTCTTCAAAACATATTTTTTAAGTTTAAGTGTGTCACTCTAAGATACTGTAATACAGAATTTTTTTCACTTTTCCATTGAGGCTGGAGTGGAAAACAATATCAGGTCCAGCATACTGTAGGTGAAGTGTTCAGAAGACAACTGGACTCCTTTCACCTCCTCCGAGCTGTGTTTTCTGCCGTGTTCAGGAGATTTTGGCTGATCACAGGCAGTGTTGGTCAAGTTACTTGAAAAAAGTAATCAGTAACTAATTACTGATTACTTCCCCAAAAAAGTAATCCCGTTACTTTACCGATTACTTATTTTCAAAGGTAATTAATTACTTAGTTACTTAGTTACTTTTAAAAAACACGATTTACAACCTGAATAGGTGATAAAGCAACAGATCTTTCAGCCCAATTCTACTTTTTCTGCATAATCCATCATACAAAATGTAATCAAATGGAAAAGTCTCTTTTTAAAACTTGTTTTATTAGTTTTAATCTTTTAATTTTTTAACTTTAAAATTTAATTATATGCAACATTCTCTGACTGGAAGAAATTTGTTTAATATTTAAGCACATTCCAGCACATAAAATATATATATATATATTTTGTGTTTTCACTCACTCTTTCAAGTAGATGCAAGTAAAACACAGCAGAAAATAAATAAAATCAAAGACTAGCGGTCCTTTTGCTCTATTTTCACCTGTAAAGCAGGAGTGGGTAGGCGGAGGTTTACCCTGGTGCAGGTGTGCGCAGCGGTCAGTGGAAGAATCCGGAGTTTCTCTGTGAGTTTCCCATTACGTCGTAGCGCACTCGGTGCTTGTTTGGAAGTTTAGGGGTTTTTTTCGCTGTAAAAAGAAGTTTTCTTCCCACGGACGACTAATGTTTTTGTCACTTTTTATGGAATCAAACTCAAATAAGGTCAGTACTTCCACGCTTTAAACGCTGCACGCTCATACTCTCTCCCACTCGATATATTATCCATTGTTGATCTGCACACATGAACGTCGCACTCGCTTACGTCACTGTCATGAGACATTCTCGCAAAAAATCACGGTTTTAGTAACGCAGTAACGCAGCGTTCCTACGGGAAAGTAACGGTAATCTAATTACTGTTTTTGCAATAGTAATCCCTTACTTTACTCGTTGCTTGAAAAAAGTAATCGGATTACAGTAACACGTTACAAGTAACGCGTTACTGCCCATCTCTGATCACAGGTCATTTTAAGATTTGAAAGCAACTGAGTGCTGCTTTGTGCAACGATGACAAATTTAGACCCCTATCTGATACGTGGACATGTTTGTAAAATCAGATGGGTTTCTTTGGTTAAGCTGGGAGAATATAAAGAATGAATGAGGGGAAAATGCATTTTCTGTCTTTTTTCCCTTTCAACTTCTTAAAAAAAATAAAGGCAAATTGAATAATTTACTTGGAATTTCAGTGAAGATGCTACTGAGATCTCATCTCTTTACTTTTTTAAATCAAACCACTCCAAACTGTTATGTCTGAAATCCAGGATACATACTGAAGATTCGACCACTGCACATTGCAATGAATCTCATAACCTAACGCATTTCCACGGTTACTGTGTGCATCGTTGTGTTAAAGTGGACTTACTTGGATTTGAAACGGCCGTCTGCAGGTCTTCGTATCTGAAAGGCTGCTGTGCTAGTTGGCTGAATACCCTGTCCTCAAAGTGGTAGAGCAGTGGATCAGGAAACATCACGTCTTCATTTCCCAGTGCATTCAGAGAAGAAACTGTCCTTGCATGAGAACCGCCCCTTTGCCTCGCAGGTACGAGAGACAGAGAGTGCGACGCCTGGTTTTGGACTGTAGATGCTGAAAAATCTATGTTCCTGAAGGAGAATGTTGTTTTCCAGAAGAAGTTTTGTCTGAGGTTGTTCTCTGCAAAGAAATCATCATACATGTCTTTAGAAATACGAGATGAGCTCGCCTTGCGGCTGAACCTGGTAAATACCCTGACAGGACCGGTGTTATCCTCTTCATCGGATTCCGACTCGTCAGATGAGGATGATGAGGCAAAGAAATAATCATAAGCTTCCGGGAACTGGAAGTTTCTGTTAGCTGAGCGAGAGCTGGAAAAGATAGGAACTGGCTTGTCTTTGGTCTCATCTTCAGTTGCGATGAGCGGATAGAAGAAGTTTTCTGTGTCGAACTCAGAGAAAAAATGATCATACGTTTCAGGGACTGAATTCCCGTCATCGTAGAAGGTGGTTAAGTTATCTGCAGCTGGTTGGCTGGGAGCAGTTTGTTTCCCTCCAAAGAAGTACTGAAATATATCTATGAGAGAGATGCTGTAACTGTCTGTCAGAGAGGAAGGCAGAGGATCTGTGCCTTTGTCTTGCTTAGGCAAGACATACTCTGCTTTCTGAGATTCTCCTTCATCTACTGTTTGTAAAGTTTCACATTTCTGCGTGTAGCTAAATGACTCAGACTCGAGTGCACGTAAGTTGTGCACGCTGATATTTTTGGAAATCTTTCGGAGGGACTTTTCAGCCTTTTCTGAGAGGAAAGGTCGAGAAGTGTCACTCACAGATGTCAGCATCACATTTTTAGGGTAAATATCAGCACTTTGGCTCACGTGGGCTGCTTCACTCTCCCATAAAACACTTTGTGAAGGGGAAAAATTGGCCGCGCTATTAGGATTAAAACATGATTCTACAGCATCGGGGAAACCAGAGGCGTCCTCGGTCGTTTGCTCGGGTGTGGACTCGTCTATTTGAGTGAAAAAGCCTGAATCTGCCATCTCCTCGTTTTCCTGTAACGGTGGGAGGGAGCTGGGTGGAGCAGCTTTACTGATCATTCTCAAACCCAGAATGTCGTTTATTGTCAGCTTCTCCATCTCACTCCAAAAGGAAGACATAGCAAACACTGGATTCAGCACCCGTTCAGGTTTACATTCAGCTTCGGGTACCAAGATGGCATCTTCCGCTTTTCCCAACAACTCGCACACTGAGTCTGGGCTCTTGAGTCCAGATTTCTCGTCCCCCTTTTTTCCTCCATGACCTCCAGACTCTTGCTCGCTGACAGATGAACAGAAACTTGCTGGCATGTCTCTGATATTTCCATTTGACCGTGACTCTGTGTTCAGAGTACCGCAGGATGATACATTTGTGATATCTGAAAGACTTGTTAGTACATCTTCAGACACGGGTGATTTGGTTCCTGCTCGACTCTTGCTTGTTATCTGTGATGCCGCTAGTGTTTCTCTGCTTTTCTCTGAAATATCTAATTTGGGTGAGGTGTGAACCTCAAGAGGACGCTCTGTATTCACACCTATACAGGGTGAACTTTTAGACAGAAAGCTTTCATCGGGCGAGGGATTAAAACTATCAGATGTAAATTGAGCGCTGATAACTTTGCAGGCAGAAGTTTTTAATTGCAGAGGTTTTGTGAGCAAGCCTTTTAAAGTCGAGGCTGTAGGTGGAGAATAGTCGGTGTTTGCCATTGTGCCGCTATATTGGTCCGTGTTGTGAAACTCCTTTTCCAGCTGTTGTTGGGGCTCAGCCTCACTGGGACACAGTGTGGGCTCGTCCCCGCCAGAATTTCCAGCCTCCACAGCCAGGACTGACTTAGCGGCGGGTTGTCTGTCATTTTGGCCGACTTCCACAGAAGTAGCATTTGACTCTGAGCTCGATAAAAGACTATGAGTTACTGCTTTGACCTCTACAGCAGATGTGAGATTCTGTTCATTTTCAGGTGAAGTGACGGAGTGAAGCCCCTCGACTTTTATGTCCCCGCTCTGACTTTCTCTGCCCATGTCTGGTTTACCATATTCACCTACTGTCATTAAAACTGGCAGTTTAGGATACATTTTCAGTCCAGCTGATTTTTCTTCCTTCGACTCGCTGCAAACCTCTGAGTTTGTTGCCACAGTAGCACTGCTGTTTGGTGCAGACGTTGCACTGTCATCAGTTTGACTCAGTGTGGTCGCTGAGCTATTGTTTGCTGAATTATTGTCGGATGTATCTGTACTCCTCCTCTGCCTGCCCACGCTCTCTGACAAATATTGGTGCTGACTATCACATGGAGGATTAGAGGATATAATCACCGGGAAACTGCTGCTGGTCATTGAATATGGTGTTAGAAGAGATGTGAGATTTTTCTGTGGTTCGTTTAAATAAAACGACTTGATATCCTCAGAAAAGCAGAGACCTGTTCCTGCTTTTGACGCGCACTGCTCCTCCTCCGAGTCGCTCGGCTTGACTAAAACCTGCCTCTCGTGCCCACCTTCGCTTTGCTCCACACTGAGCCGTCTCTTCTTTCTCCTCTTCCTCTTCATGGAAGCAGACGGAGATTCTTGGATCACTGCTTTGTTTGAACATGCTGTGTCTGACTGTGAAATAATAGGGGTTTGGTCTTCCTGCCTTTTAATATTTGCCACGTCCAAATCACTGGCTAAATCAGTGGCACACTTTTTACAGAGGTGTTTCAACAATTCTTCCTCTTTAAAGTCATGTAGAAGTGCGCATGTCTGCACCTTGTTTGGTGTGGTCACTGAGCAGACGGCCGTGCACAGTGAGTCACGATTCCACTGCTGTACGTCGCTGACTCTGGGTTCTGTGCAGGCTTCCTCTCTGATGAATAACTCAGTTTCAGTTGATTTGTTAGTGTTGAGTACTGAGTTACTGGCTGCATGTTGCAAGGAAATGCTGGGCTCAGAGTGCACTTTTCTCAGTGTGTATGTCTTTCTGATGGTGTCGACAGGCCTCTCGCTCTCTTTGCCAACTGCTGTTTCACCCCTGGCAGGCAGAAAGTTTAACTTTTGGATGTTTTTTGGCAGTGCATCTCTACTGGCCTGCTGCCCTTCGCTGCACCGCTCCATCTCTTGCATTGCCTCACTGTTTTTTCCAAAGTTCACTCGGCTTGGCTCAGGCTCTGTCAGACTTTTCAGCCTTTCAAAAAACATATTGACGGACTGCAGGTGGATATCCTCCTCGCTGCCCGAGAGGACGCTCTCCATCCCTCCTATGCCGTGTTTGCTGAGGTAGTGTTCCACAGGAGAGCCCTCACAGTGTGGCGGCCCATCGATAGGGCGGTCAGTCTCAGAAAAGCCTGCGGTTAGATCGACTCTCTGAGCCCTCATGGCAAGAACAGACCCCGTGTCATCAATGTCACTCATCCCCGAATCTTCGAGACCTGCTAGCGATGGAGGAAGCAGATTACACTCCTCGCACTCTGCAAAGAAGCGCTCCCAGTCACGGTCACAGATTTCCACACTGTATTCAAACTCTTCCATTTTGCTTCAACAAAACCTGCAAAATCAATTAAAAGAGCTGTCAAGTAAAACCCTTGTTATCAGGTAATATTAACATTTACAGATCTTGTCAGGATGACTAGCAAACTCTAATCTCAAATCAACTCATTAATAAAGCTGCTCATAAAAATACAAGGATATGAATTTTAAGTGCGCGTCATTTTCAATCCACAATTTAAATTGCAATGCAAATCATAAAACTAAAATGCCACAACTTACAACTTACTTACATTAAAATTACAGCATATAGAATTCAAATGTTTATGTGTTTTAGCTGTTTTGTTGTACTTTTACATCCAAACATGGTTCCTACCTGTCCTGATTCAAGCTGTCCTGCTCTACAGGAGATGAAGGTCAAGGAAGTCTCTGCAGCACCATGCTGTACGTCCTCTGGTAGGTGTTCTTGCATGTGAGCATGCGACAAGGCAAGCCCCATGATCTGATAAATATAGAGCGGTGCTTCTGATCACGTAATACACGCAGTGTTCTCACAGCCGCCATCTCTAACAGAGGTATAACATTTCTGAACTTTAAATAGATTCTCCCCTGGCAAACTGCTAATCTGCTTTTAGAGTAGCTTTAATGTTACTGTTGTTTAATTAGCAGAAAAACTCTTGGCATATTTAATTAAAGTTACGTATGTTTTATTATTAATCCTGACTTTTGGTCAAATAAGTGTGCTTAAACCTCAGCAAGTAGCCGGAGTGGCTGGGAGCAGCTATAAAAGAGGTCCCTCAGCAGATATGGGTGTCATGTGAGGCGTGTGTCAGTCAGCTGATACCTCACTGTTGTGACATCATGGGGTGACAGCCAATATGAAACTTTCCCATGCAATGTTTCCAGCTAAGGCGAGCCAGAAAGACAGACGGAAGAAAGTGGCACAAATGACTTAGACGTCATTTGTGACTCTTCTGAGGCTGAAAATCAGAAATACAAAGAAAAAAATAAGATTGCGTTATCTGAGGAAATAAAAAAAAAAATATAAAGATGTTTAAGAAAATAAATAAAGGTGCTTTATTCTAAAAACAATGCCAAAGGATCAAAACACAATTTAGTGAAAAATACACAGACCAATCCATACACTGATTAACTTCAATTTAAATAGTCTTAATAAATAATTAGGTGTTACATACAAGCACATGTGTGTGTCCAGGTCATTTATTGTCTGTCAGGTTATGGCATGTTAATATAAACTGTTCATCTGATGACTGATGTAAATATCGAATCAGCCAATCACATGGCAGCATCTAAATGCATTCAAACATGTAGACAACAGCAGCAACAACAACATGCAAACACAGCATACACAGAAGAGCATCTCTGAATCAAACTTTGAAGCAGATGAGCTACAGCAGCAGAAGACCACACCAGGTGTCACTCCTCCCAACTAAGAACAGGAAACCGAGAGTACAACTCACACAGGTTCACCAAAATTGGAGAAGATTGGACAAATGTTGTCTGCTCTCACGAGTCTCGATTTCTGCTGCAACATTCAGATGGTGGTTTCAGAGCTTGGCATAAACAACATGAAAGCGTGGATGCATCATGCATTGTGTTAACAGTTTAGACTGGCAGCAGTGATGAGATAGTGTGGGGGAAACTTTCATGCTTTAAATTCAACATCCTGTCTGAGTATTGTTGTTGACCATGTCCATCCTTTTGTGACTGCAGTGTACTCATCTTCTGACATGTCATAAAGCTCCGATCATCTCAAACTGGTTCCTTGAACATGACAGAGAGTTCACTGGACTCAAATGGCCTCCACAGTCACCGCATCTCAATCCAATAGCTCACTTTTGGGATGTGCTGGGCTGCATGATGCTAGTACATCAATATAACCCAAAGTCTGTGAGGAATGTTAGCGGGTGTACGTTAAGTAACCAGATATTTCCTGTTTCCTTCTGATAAGAGAATTTTTAATTATGAGACCTCAATTAGCTTATTGAAATTTAGCAGTACAGTTAAATTAGAGACTGCAAGCAGTCCTTGTGTCATTAGATAATTTACATTTCAATCTTTGTTTTAACCTCACCTGTCTAATAGTGAAGACAAGTTCTGTTTCCTTTGTCGTGATTTTTTGTGTGTTCCTTCCAACATAAAGCCTATTTCTTCGTTGCAGTGTTTTAGATGGGCTTATTTGCATCGTGTTATCATTTGGTTTGGAGGGTGTCTTTAGGGCTGGATTTAGGGTGATTAACTTTGAGTGAATGTTAATTGTCAGTAAGATTTTGCCCAATTCTGCTCAACAGGCATTTGCTGGTGTCTTATGCTTTACTACCATACAACACAGGGAAGGACGACACTATGAAAAATTTTAAGTTAAATTTTTATTGGAATTTTAGCGAATGAACAGTTTCTCATACATTTTTTTTCTTACATTTTCAGTTTTTCTACATAACAAAGAAACATTGCTGTAACAAAAAGAAGAAATCTGTCAGCATGACTCTTTGGGCTTAAGGTGTAAGAAATAAATGTCTAAAATTACAGAACATTTTTGCAACTCATTGCTCACACTGTCCTGTAATTAAAAAGCATTTTATTTAATTGACAGAATTCTGAAATCTACTACTGTAAAAAACAAACACACAAACAAAAACAGAATTACTTTAGCACAGTAACTTTTCTCTAATTTAACTGTTTATCTGTTACGTTGGTGTAGCATGAATGGCCGTGGGGGAGGCCTTCATTGGTAGAAAAGTTGTAAAACATTAGAAAATAAGGTTAAAGTCTAAAGTCTATGCCCCTTTTCACATTTACAAAACAGTCCAGCGATGTTTTACACCCCTGCTTTACACGATCAACCTCTTTACACAGCTTTCCAGTTCGCACTCCTTGTGATTTCTTTCCTAGTTTGCATTCCAAATATCTTTTCCAGGTTTGTATTTTTTGTTGTTGTCTTTTATTGTTTCCTTGTGCTTTTTGATTATTCTCCTCATGAAGCTTTATCTTACTGTCTGCATGTGTACATCGATTCCTGACCAAACATTTGCTTTTTGAACATTTTTTCTGACTTCTGTGTCCAGTGTTTGAATCCTCTCCTTCTGCGGAATCACCTATTGGTTCATATTAAAGTCCTAGTATTAGCTTGCCATTAACAAAGGCTTCTTCCACAACAAAGGGGCTTTACAACTGGAACTGTAAATATTTAGGTCATTAATGGGAAGAGACAGGGGGAAATGGCAGAGAAAGAAGGAAGGGAGGAAACGAGGAAGGCAAAATAAGTAAAAGATTAGGACAGGGTGGGAGTGAGAGAAAAAAGAAAGGATGTAAGTGACTTTATTGATGGTGTTGATTTACAGTGCCTTACTAATTAATGTAAGGCACTGTAAATCAATGTAAAGTTTATGTTTCAGTAATTCCACCAAGCTTTCTAACTGAAATTATATTATATTATATACTAAAATACAATTATTTCTGTTATCCATGAATTTTTAAATATACTGTTTTAGAAAAATCAGAAAATTGCAAAGCACATTAGTATTTTTTGATTATGATGCCAAATTACAGTTATTTATTTGGTTGTAGTGGTTGAATGGTGTGCTTGATAAAACTCTCAGAGTGCCAGCTCAAATTTGGGTATGAAAACAAAAATAAGAGCACCGTTTTTAGATTTACACACATCATTGGCAGATTTCTAAAATATTTGTGTTTGGTTGTGGCCAAACTGCTAAAAAGGCGAGGATGTCTTACCTGAGGAGGCCTTGAGCCTTTGTTTACAGCTATCAGCAGGACTCAGTAATAACAACGTGATTACGGGAACATCCTTGCTGTCAAAATATTCCCAACACTAAGAGATACCAAGATAACCGATCAGGCCCAATCTCATTATCTGCTGTTAATCTCAGATTAACAGATGTTGAATGTAACCTTATTGCAGCTGAATGTACTGACTAATGATGACAAGTCTTTACTGATAATTTAGAAAAAGAACAATTCCCAAATGATTTTTCTCTCCCTGTCAGTATCGTTAGGAATAAACAAGCCTTCACAATACACCCAGGCATAACATTATGACCACCTGTCTAATATTGTGTTGTGTCCTGACCCGCGGAGGCATGGACTCCACTAGACGCCTGAAGGTGTGCTGGGGTCTGTGGCCCCAAGATATTAGTAACAGATCCTTTAAGTCCTGTAAGATGTGAGGTGGGGCCTCTGTGGATCGGACTTGCTTGTCCAGCACATTCCACAGAATCTCGATTGGATTGAAATCTGAGGAATTTGGAAGCCAAGCCAAGGCCTCAAACTCATTGTTGTGCTCCTCAAACTATTTGTGCCATTATCCTGGGTGCATTATCCTGCTGAAAGACGCCATCGGGGAATACTATTTCTATGAAACAGGTCTTAAGCAATCCTTAGGTAGGTGGTTTATTTCAAAGTAACATCCATATAGATGGCAGGACCAAAAGTGTCCCAGCAGTACACTGTCCAAAGTGTCACACTCATCCTTTAGTGCATTCTGGTGCCAGGTGTTCCCCAGGTAAATGACCCACACAAATGCTCATGTGCCCATTGTTGGTGCTTTCAGCGATGTACAGGGGTCAGCATGGACACCCTGACTGGTCCGCAGCTCTGTGTATTCTGACACCTTTCTTTGAGAACCAGTATAAACTTTTTTCATCAGTTTGAGCAAAAGTAGTTCATCTGTTGGATTGGACACACAGGCCAGCCTTTGCTCCCCACGTTCATCATTGAGCCTTGGCCTCCAATGACCTTGTCGCTACTTTACTACTTTTCTTTCCTTGGACCAGTTTTGATAGATGCTGAACACTGCAGACTGGGAACACCCCACAACAGCTGCAGTTTTGGAAATGTTTTGATCCAGTTGTTTAGCTATTCCAACATGTTCCTTGTCAAACTCATTCAAATCCTTACACTTTTTTTCTTCTTCTAACACATCAACTTTGAGGACAAAATGTTCAATAGCTCCCTGATATATTCCACCCACTAACAGGTGCCATGATGAAGAGATAATCACTGTTGTTCACTTCACCTGCCAGTGGTTGTAATGTTATACCTGATCATTTTATTTGTATATGTAGCAATCAGAAGTGATGCCTGAAGGCCGAAAAATGTCAAACAGATTTACTTTCACAAGTGGAGTATTATGGCCTTCGTTAGTCAAAATCTATTAGAACTTTATTGGGATTTTTTATTTTGGATTATTACAACCATAACGGACGAGGCTGGTGGACAGAGAAAAAAACAGTGAAGTTGGGGAAAAAGTTAACAGAAAGAGACTGAGAGAAAAATAGAGGAGACGAAGAGGGATAGAGGGAGAGGGGAAAAAACCTACTGGGAAACCATAGCAACAACCAACATATGCATGCAACAGCACACAGTACTAATAATACAAGATATTTCTGGAGGCAGCAGCAGCAGCCCAAGATACTGTGTGTCGCATTCCCACCCTCATGCACACAAACATTCACACACACACCCAACTTAGAGATGCACAGAAATGGATGCCATGCACACACTCACACTCCCCATACACACTCTATACTCCCAGGTCCAGGCACCAATAAACCTCATTGGGGCACCAGCACCAGAGGTGAGGCTGCCCCAATGAGGTTGTGTTTCCATAGCTCAATTGCAGGTTAAGCTGTCATTATAAGTAACAATTTAGAACAATTATTTCTCTTGTAAAAGCACACATCTGCCAGGTTTCCCTCACAGTGTCACTCTCCATTGAGACTTTTTTACCTCACACTTTCACAGGGTGGAACTGCAGCCTTTATTTACCTAATTTTCATTGCTATAGATATTTATGAGAAAACAGAGCCTCTAATTAGCCAAACCACAGCCTGGGCTGCATGCCCAA